ATAGTTGTTTTTTGAAAGGAGAGGAGAGAGGAAGGGGGGGGGGGGGGGGGAGTATGCCTGTAAGTCAGGAATGATCTGGAAGTGAATGTGCGTGACAACATAGCTTCTGAGATTGGGGATAGTGCTAAATCTTTATGTATGGAGATGAAAATGAATGAAAAAAATAGTAAATTACTGATGGGCATACGCTACAGGCCCCCATACATAAGGGAGGAGGAGGCAATTCAACTATTCTTACAGACCGCACACTAAAGTAAGGCCCGTCAATTCTTGAACCTACTCTGAGATATTTTTATGGAACAATGGTGGAAACCCCAACTAGAAAAAAATGCTCTGTTGCATTTATTAATTACAAACAACACAAAGCTGATTACAGATGTGGAAATTGGGGATAACCTGGGGAACAGTGATCATAGAATTATAATGTTCACAATATATTCCAGGAAACATTGACAAGTTGGTATGACAAAAACACTAAATTTTAAAAAGGTTAAATTTAACAAGCTGAGATACCTGCTATGTGACACAAATTGGGACAAAAACTTCCTGAATAAGAACACTGAGGACAAGTGGGAAATTTTAAATAACATTCGCCAGTGCATTTAATTTACCAACAAATTCAAAACAGCAAAGGTTAAACCAGGGTGGGTAACTAGCAGAGTAAAGCAATATTTAAAAGATAAGGCATTCAAATACTGCCTCAAATCACTACCTGATTCAAGACGGTGTCAATCTCCTGATCTGAACCTTCCCCCCCGCGAGCGTCACGCTGATCCTCCTCACCTGCTGTCCTCTTAAGCGCCGAGAATCGAAACGATCGGCGTCTCTGTATTGCGTATGGTGTACAGACACTGACCGTTCGTCTCCGTTCGTCTCTGCTTTATACCCCGTCAGAATTGTGGATTGCAAGACATCCGCCAATAGGGAACCAAACTCCAACGCCAGCCCCGTTGGGCAACACATCAGTGGACCGCACTTAGCAACCTTGCTTACCATCTCCAGAGCTGGGGACATCAGACAGTGTTCCTAATGCTGTGATCCATTGGACATGCTCACCTGAACACAAGACTACGGTCTCACTTCAAAAGGACAGTGGCTCTCTCCTACTCTCTCTCTCCCTCGCAGTGGACCGCTGCCTGTTCTCGTCCACGCTACTAACCGCAAGTATCATTGACTGTGACAAGTTATGAAATAGTGTCTACGTGCCCCCTGCATAGTCTGGGTAGACGGCACAGAGTTATAATCTATGTTTTGGATACGATTGCCAGCACAATAGAATACAGTTATTCACTTGAAAACGTTTCCTTGTGTGAATATATGGACTGTAGAGTTATATGCTATCCGCAGCTGAGTTCCCTATACAAGTGTTACTGCCTATTACATAATACAGAGACCTTTACAGTAAGATGGAACCAGCGGATATCACTGGGCATATTGTAAGCTTGACTCCCCACTCCTCCAAGCTCCCCCCCTGCACATAATAATACACTCCCCCCCTCCAAGCCCCACTGCATATAATAATACACTCCCCCACACATAATACATTTCCCCCCTTCAAAAAAAACCCCCACCCCCCCGCACACATAATACATGCTTCGCCCTACCTTCCAAGCTACCTGCACACATAATACACTCCCCCCAGCACACATAATAATAAACAAACCTCCTCCCTCCCAAGCCCCCTAGCACACATAATAAACTTTTCCACCCTCCCTCCAAAGCCCCCAGCACATATAATAAACTTCCCTCCCTCCCAAGCTCCCAGCACACATAATAAACTTTCCTCTCTCCCTCCCAAAGCCCCCAGCACACATGTTAACCATCATTCCCTGGTGATCTAGTGGTGATTAGTAAGGTCTAGTGCAGACCTTACTGATCACCGTTCGGCCGAAGCTCAGAACTGTCAGAGCTTCGGCCGGAGCTGACAGGAGCAGCTCTGCGGTCTGCATCCAACAGAGATGCAGACCGTATAGCTGCTCCCACAAGTCAAGCACACGGTCCGTGACCGTGTGCC